CAGTCTTCTGATGATGAACCTAGTGAAGAAAAGGACAGATTTGTGGCACAGTTATACAAATTTATGGATGATAGAGGTGAGATTTTATATGCTATATGAGTGACATAACTTTGAAAAAAACTAAGTTATATCCTTAAGTTTTACTGCTTTTCATTTAGCATGTTGGTAGAAGAGTAATCAGGTAATGAGTTATGCCACTTTTACATTATTAACAGGCACTCCTATCAACAAAGCCCCATGTCTTGGTAGCAAGGACTTGAGCTTGTACAAGCTGTTTAAGGTTGTACAGAATTATGGTGGCTACAACAAGGTGACCAGTCAGTTGAAATGGAGACTGATTTACTCCAAGATGGGCCTTCCTCCAAGTAACAGTGCTTCTTCTCAGATACAGCAAGCATATAAAAGGTATTAGTAGGAGCATATTAACACGAATTTAACAACACTCTTGTATGTCACCAAATTAAATTCACCAAAAAAACAAACAAACAAACAAACAAAAAAACAAGAGTAACCCCTTTGTTAACCAATACTTTGTGGTTTTAGGTATCTGCATGCCTTTGAGGATTTTTACCGCAAACTTGGAAGCAGTATGGGTACCATCAGTCGGCCAAGCAGAAGCAGGAATAGTTCAGGAAGAGGTGGATTTCTGTCTTTTAGGGAGAGAGAAAGAGAAACTCCAAGATCACCAAAAAGAGATGACAAAACTGTAATTAGTTTAATGGTCTTTTTGTTCTGAAATTGTTTTTATTAATCATCACATTGTTAATGTTGGAATTTAAAATATTAATTTCAGTTTCAGATTAAATATTTGTACTGGAAATATTCTTTTGGTAACTTTGGTATATCTTATGCAAAGAGTCATTTTATACCAAATCAGTGAAGAAGTTTTTAAGAAATAGTACTTCTGATTTTCTGTAGCCAACTTAAATTGATTTTATTATTCGACAATTTAACTTTTATTTTGCTTTTCTCTCAGAATAGATTTTTGAAATTGTGTCATTTATCACTTCCAGAATGTCAAAGACCAAGATAAGATGAAAGCAAAGGATATCAATTTCGAAAAAACTCCAGTGAAAGAAACTGATGCTGAGAAACAAAAGGAGAAAGCTCAGCCCATTGTCAAAAAAGCTGACAAAGAGGAAAAGGAAGAAAGTGAAGTGCCAAGGAAAGAAACCAGAGGTCGAAGGCTATCCAAAGCTGTTGAGGCAGAGGAGGACAGTCCAAAGAAGCGAATATCAAGGTCAGATTCTCGGGCACAAATTGAAAATAAGAAAACTGAGCCAGATGACAAGCGAAGCACAAGGTCAGACAAACAAGAACCTGCTGAGAAGAAGAAAGATGAAAAGAAAACTCCTGTGACCAAGTCAGAAAGCAAGTTTACCAAGCCTGAACCCAGACCAGACAGTCCCAGGCGAGGACGTCCTCGCTTACTTGACAAGAAGAGCCCTAAAACCAGTAAAACGGACACAGAGTCAGATGCAGACAGTGTGAAGACTGATATTGACAAGGACGAAGAAAAGGATGAAGTGCGTGAAAAGAGGGTGAGTTATAAAATCTGACTCAAGTTGTGCACAATGAATAAATTATCAGAAGAACACATTCACACCTTGATTGCTTTCTTATTAGTCTATGGAAATTTACTGGTTCTCAATAAAAGATGGGAAATGCACACATAAATGTTACAGTGGGAACATTTTTCAGGATTGCTAAATATGTAATTATTTTTAGGGACGAAGGAAATCCAGCCGGCTAGATGATGAAGATAGCAAGGATGGTAAAGAAGAGGAGAGTAGCAACACAAGATCTAAGAAAACTGCAGAAGAAAAAAGCAAAAAGGCGGAAACAGAATCTAAGAAAAAGTAATGTATATTCTTAAATATAAAAATGATAACAGTTAGGAAGAAGAACTTAAATAATAATATCTCAAGGAATAAAAATTATTTAATATACCAAAGAATGTATGCTTATAGATTTTAATAAAAGTTTAACGTACATTTTCAGTTGAAAGACAATTATTGTCCTTCATCCTTTTGAAAAATTGACCAAAGGTTGATTGTCTATAACTGTATTGCATGGTGTTTTCCATTTATTACAGTGAAGAGAAAACTAGTAAAGTTAAAAAGGAAGCAGAAGATGAATGTGAGAGTTCCGGCAAAAACGATGACCCTTCCATCTTGTTCCCTATTGGCACTAGGGTCAAGGTCAAATATGGAAAAGGCAAAAATCAGAAGGTTTATGAAGCCAAGGTACAATATCATTATAGTGAAAAATTATTTTAAATGACAGTATTTTTAAGTGACTGTGATGAAGAATAAAACCTATTGTTTCTTTGATTGCAAAAATCTGACCCTAGTAAATTTATAAGAATATCAAGAAATTAAATATCACATTTGGATTGTTCTTGTTAAAAGTGCTCAGAGTTTCTCCCTTATTTCTTCTCAGGTGACAGATGTTGATAAGGAGGACAGTCAGCGCATTTACTGTGTCCACTATTCAGGGTGGAATATTAGGTATGTCCAAGAGGGGATACAATTTACTATGAATGTTACCTAAATCTCTTCAAATATTATATGAAGAACACCAAACCTTTAATATACAAATCTTCCAGACTATGAAAGAAAGGTCTTTTACACAAAGAAACGTAGCTGTTTAATATGTGCACAGCATTATGTTTTTCAGTTTTAGACTGGAATTCAGATTAAATCTCATTTATAAAGCTTGGCTTCAAAATAGTGTAGCTTATGACACAAATGCAATGATTTTTTTATTATCCTTAAGGTATGACGAATGGATCAAAAAGGAACGTTTAGTGTGTGCTGTGGAGAAGAAAGATGGTAAAAAGAATCCTCCCAAACCAGCTAGTGTAGAACGTTCTAGTCCTAAGCCCTCTCGCTCGGACAGTCCAATCACCTCGGCAACACCTCCAGGTTCTGCATCACCAGCATCTGGCCAGGTAGGTAGTCTTATATGTTGCAGGGAGGGAGGGGTTCAGATGTAGTTCTTCCATGGTTTGTAGTGAAAATATATCTTTTAGTAGTAAGCTGTTCGTTAGTACAAAAATAATCAGAATTTGCCTTATGTATTTCCAAATTGTAAAATTCACTGATAAGGCAAGAATAACACTAGCCATGGAGAAGTATGAACTTCTAAACCTGTTTTATATCTATTTATTATTTGAAGAAACTTCAGCTCAAAGTTTTTTTTGCATCAGTGAGACTTTTTTTTATTTTTATTTATTTTTTTTTTCAATTTTTGTTAAGATATTTTAAGTTCAATTTCAACAAATAAACATTAAGATTGATGCTGAGACTGGAATGTAATGGCTACTTAACTCCCAAGTTTTTCACTTTTCAAGTCATCATCCTTATCAAAGAAGCGTGGTCGACCTGGAGCTGTTGGCAATGACAGGCCAGACAGGCACACTTCACCTGCCGCCACTTCTACTACTGAAGCGAGAATGTCTCGCAGTCGGTCTCCTGCCTCAGCTGGAGTGAAGGCTCCAAGACCAACAAGGTCAACTAGTATAGATAATCCACTGGTGGATGGATTGCCTCGTAAGTACTAAGCAAACCATGATGAAAGTTAAATAGAATTTTTGTTCTATGTGCCATTCTGATTGTTTTTAATGGGTCTTTTAGCTCTTTGCTTGATACTCTAGTACTCTACCTCAACTTGTAGGGTGTCAACTAAAGCTCATTGCAGTTTGATTTATAAATACATAAAAATGCTTTTTAATATTTCGCAATTTGATTATTGCTTTGGCGCAAAAGGTATTTGATGTAAGGCGGCTCATTAGAATTACAGGAAGATGTTTATTTATTTATTTTTTGTTATAGCAAGAAGAAGGGGTAGGAGAAGCTCTGGTTACACAGAATCATCTGAACAGCTGTCACTGGGTTAGTATAAAACATTTCTTTGAAGATTTATTGCCACTGGAATTTGTTAGTTTTTCCTAATATGAAAGTGCTTCAGATTTTCTCTTTTGTAATTTCTATATGTATGAGAAGGTAGTGCCAGAGAAACCATGCCCACTTTTTTTCAGAGAAAAAAACATTTTTTCATTTTCTTTTTTATGTAGCATATTATAAATTCCAATTTATTTAATTGCATTTTATTTTTGCTCAGTGTCTGGAGAAGAAGATGGGAATATTTCTGATGAAGATGAGAGGGAGGAGATTTCTACCACCAACAAAGCCACCATTAAATCTTCTTTACCAACTCAAGAGGACCCTGTGGAAGACAAGTACAAATTTGATGAAGTTGATGAAGCCACCATAAAAATTGAGCCACTTCAGCATGTTCCTAAACGTGTAGAGCCAAACAAAGCCAAAATAGAGATACTGGAACCATCAAAAGTTAAAGAGAAGAAGCATGAAGAAATGCCTACTGTTCCAATGAAAGCAAAAGATGCCAAAGCCATCAACATTCACAAAGAAAGTGAGACAGCAGTGATATCTGGGCCAGAGCAGCAAAAGAAAATTTTACCAGAAGAAAAAACCAGAAGCCATCAACAAATTATATCTACAAAGAGTGAAGAAAAAGATGTTGAAGAGTCTCAAATCAAGACACGTGATAGATCTCCCAGCAAAGTTTCCACAGAATTAAAGGTGGATGCAATGGAGACTGATGCAGCCAAGCCTGAGAAGAAGGAAACCAAGGCGAAGGGGAAAAGGAAAGAACCAGAAACTGATAAATCAATGAAACCTACAACAAAAAGGAGACGTACATCTTCGGAATCTAAGAAAGAAGACCCCAGAGAAGAAGAAGCAACAGCTGTGAAACCCAGTGTTATCAAAGAGGAATTAGAAAACAATGAACAAAAGTTCGAAGAGTCTGCCAAATCATCCGAGGAAGATCAAGGTGGGAAATCTGATACCAGTAATAAGTCAGACAAGAAGAAGAAAAAGGATACTAAGACCAAGGAAGATAAACCAAAAACAGAACAAGACATCAGTAAAAAAGATAAAACACAAAAGACCATTAAGACTGAAAAGACTGAGTTTGTTACACAGCAAACTCAAGAGAATGAGGAAGAAAAATCCACTAAGAAAAAAGGAAAAAAGAAGAAAGCAAAACAAGACACAGAAGAAAAGGTCAAAGCAGAAGAAAATAAGGTAACAGAAAAGGCTGAAACAGTTGCAATCAGTGAATCAAAGGATGTGATAAACAGTGCTGAAAATGACAGGTTAGCAGTGGCAACTTTGCTGGCCCAGGCTTTACCAGTGGAACATAACAAAGTGGAGTGGACAAACACTGAACCAAATTCCCCCAAACCCTCCACAAGTGGTACACTCCAAGCTTTGTCAAATGCAGCTGCTGGAGTGGCATCTGCTTATTCGCCAGCAGCAGCAGTTCCTTCCAGAGTAAGAGCAGAAACCCCTGAGAAGGTATCTGCACCCAATGTTTTGCTGGAGAACACCCCACCCATTACTCCCGAAGGATCACCCAGGGGTGAACACGGCGTGGGTGAAAGTCAGCTGAATAAGAACAGAAACCTTCCACAGGCAGAAGAGAGCATGGATACCTTGGATGGAGAAGGAAGTGCCATTACTAAAGGGAGCGAATCTCCACACAGTTCTATTGGGTCTAATGAGGCTGGAGGCTCCAGTGATAACATTACTGGCTCGGAAACCAGTGTTGAGCCCACAGGGAGTAAACGGAAGCATGTGTCTGAAGAGACAACTTCCTCAAAGAAGAGAAAAAGGAGTAAAAGACAGGCAGCGAAGGCAAAGCAGGGTAAGTGTGCAGGTGTCATGAAGGGAGGGAATGTGAAACTATTGTGTGTTTATATTTTTGTGTATAAAGTTATGCAGTGCAAGCTCAGATGCTGACTGAAGTGCATATAACGGATATATGCATTTTCAGTTTAATTAATAAGTTTATATATATATACTTGTTAGATATTGTGGCAGATGTCAGCATTAAAAAAATTTTTATGAGTTGAAGTATTTGTTGTGCTGTGATGCTGTAATATAATATGCCTGTGCTAATTGTAGGGGTTGAACTACCAAGTTGCTGACATCTTGATTGCCCCAATCTTAAATTGTACCTACTCCCTGCACACATTATTTTGTTTGCACTGTGTGTAAAGGAGAGGAAATGTCAGAATTACTCAAACTCCTTGCTGAAGAAAATTGAATATTATATTGTGAATAGGAAATCACATGAACCATTTACTGGTGTGATAAGAAATCTCAATTCATTTTCATTGCAGCTGCTAGTGATAGTGATGAAGCAGTGACAACAGAGAGTGTGGCACTGACAAGCCCAACATCCAGCACAGGATCTTCCATACGAGCTTCCCCTACCAAACGCACAGAGACAGCAGGCAGACGACCAAGATCACCAAACAGACCTTCCAAATACAATTTTAATCTGGGTGAGATTTGTTATAGCTTTGCATCAGTCTAAGAAAAAAAAGGATCAGAAGTACAGCATACAGTTTTGCTTTGGTTAATTTTGTTGCTTTTGTTATGCTGTGATTACAATTTATTTTATCAGAATAATTCTTTGAAAGTTTGGTATACAGATTTTGTGTAACACGTTAGTTTACCATATGAAATGTGAAGGAGCACATTGTTGAATAAGACTTAATTATTCTATCAAAACTTATTAATTCCAAGGATTCAGTCAGTCTTATAATGAATTAGCTTTTACTGTAATTGATTGAATGTAATTTTTTGATATTTTGCTTCATTTTGTACAGAGGTTGGAGCAGATTTAGAGGGAGAGAGCAGAATCAACTTTTTACAAGAAAAGCTTCAGGAAATTCGCAAAATTTACATGTCCCTGAAGTCTGAGGTGGCCTCTATCGACAGAAAAAGAAAGAAGCTAAAAAGAAGAGAGAAAGAAGGTATGTGATCAGTTTGTCCATCAAGTCTTGTTTTAGGAAATTATATTTTGACCACATTTAAATTGTGGATTAGCTCAATACAATAACAAAAAATGAAAGTTGCACTTAAAAATGACCCACATGCACAATATCAATCATTTCCTGCTTTTGTTCTCTACTAATTGGCTATGTATTGTGTTTTCTTGTATCATCAAGTATCAAAGACAGAAATGATAAAAATGTTTTTTTCTGTAGCTCATGACAAACAAGAGCAGCAAGAAAACCCAGAACCCGTATCATCATCCCAAGGGACACAGCAACAAGTGCAGAAAGAACAAGAGCAAATTAATCTCAATGAAACATTGTGTTCATAGCATAGAATAAGTTTCGTGTTCAGCTTTGTGAACTATGTGGTAGTCATTATATGTGATTTACATAAAAGAGTGGGTAGAATCTGTGCCAGCACTGTAGTTTATACATGGTATCGTTATACTACTACAAGTTTACAAGTTACTTTGGGGTTTTCAACATTGTATTCCATGAATTTGGTAGATCTGTTGTGCAGCATGTTAAAAAAGAATGAGTAAAAATGTTTTGGAAAAATTGATAGACCAAATTGCATAAGATATACATTTAGAATTCCTGATGTTAACTTAATGAATATGTGCAACCTCTAGTCAAGAAAGGAATACATGATCAGGGTCGGAAGGATTTCTATACATTTTTGGTGCTGCTGCAACAGCTATATTATTGCACAACATGAAGTTCATTTTTTGGGCTGAGAATGTGCAGGTCTGTTTTCAGACCCTCCTTCGATGAATATTATCATTCCTCACTTATGTGCAGACAAACATGTGTCTGTACATATTGCCAACACTGTCCAACCGTATAGCTAAAGGAACTGAAGTCATTAAGATTTCTTCTTATTGCCACATCTGGGGAAATTTTTGCCATTTTATTTCAAACTCTCAGTTAAAACTTGTGGACTAAAATGCATGTCAAGGTCAAAATTGTGCTTGATGTGATTATTTATTATTAATTTCTTTTTGGACATGTGAACAAAACATCATCCAAATATTAACTAAAACTGAAACCCATTGGGTTAAAGTCCGGGTTATGTAACATGGTTCAGAAAATGGTTTCCTAGTAATTTTGTCTTTGTGTATTACTGCCCTCTACCACTTCCCTTTAAACCTTTAAGTGTCCTGTACAGGGTTCATTACAGGTGCAGTTACTCTACGTTTTTTCTTACTATATTTTAAATCGTGATGTTTTGTCTGTACATTTTTTCAGCTTTAGCTGGTTTGATTTTTAAAATGTCTGAAATCAAAGAAAATTGTTGCAAGCAAAAACATTAACTTAGCTTCTTTTTTAGGGGGGATGAAGATCTTATTGGCTGGTAGGATTTGAAAAGTTAAAAAGTAATGCAAGTTGATGAAACCATCAAACTTGGAGAGGAAATTGTCAGTTGGTACAAAGTGAAATATTTTATTTTGTATACTTTTGTATCTAGTATTAGGCAGTGCTTTAAGCACTTCTGTCTGAGAGCGAACATTTTGTGAATTATAGAGTGAAAGGTGGGATTACATATTTATATACATGTTTGTATATATATGCTCATTTAGAAAGTTGATGCCAGTAGGATATAAATAATGTAGAGGAATATACTTGTCATGAATTATTGAGGTAAAATGTTTTAAAGTGTTCTTTATCTTTTACATTATGTACTGATCATATGTCCTTTATCCGTCTTGCCCTGGAATATAATTTCAGTTGTTTCTTACAAAGTATGTTAATTATATTAAGAATAAGGAGTAAAATTTCTACAAGGATAATCTTGATGCATCTGGTTTTGTAAAATGACATTTATTTATTCTTTCTTATTAAATAGAGCATTTTATCTCCTATCTAGTCTTCTTGTTGTTGTTTTGCACCAGTTTCAATTGAAGATGTGACTACTAAAATATTAATGGCAAAAATGCATTCACAACAAGCCACCTGAAGCTGATAAAAATGTCATGACATAGAGAATAAAGGTAATTGCAATAAGAAAAACGCTTGTATATGAAAACTATATGTTGCAGGAATTTCATCTTTGAGTTTCCATGGTAGCCAACATCTTGATTTTTTGTATTATTTGTATGGATTGTTGCATTTCTATATCTGTTACTTCCTGAAAAATAGGCCCTTATTCCCTCCTACTAATATAAGCTGGTATGGTTCAAACATACAAAGGAATAAACAAGATGCATGAAATCCTTGCCAATCATGTAATTTAACCAAAATGTGTCGCAACAAATTAAAGAAAGTTTATCTCAATACACTGGAAAGTCTGTATCCACATGTTTGGACCAAGCATGAAGTCCTCCATAAATGTCTTTAAATTTGTGTGGCATATCTTTCAGCTTTTCCTTCAACGCCTTCACAGCTTCTTGGGAGTCATTGCCCCTTCTACATACTAAATATACTGAAACATGGAAGAAAATTCAAAATCTACAATTTGCAAATTAGATAAACTTTAAGTGTATAGATATGCTCGCATTATCCATAAAAATATACATTTTTCAAAAAATGTAACCATTAAAATTATTGCTTATGCTACTATCTTACAACTGAACTTTAACATTCTAATGTTAGGGTCATTCCACAAAAAAGTGAGCATTTGAGTTGCATCAGTGTGGCACACATTTTTGAGAACTGCACACCCTTTTTATAACACTTTATTGATTTATTTCCACTGGAGTATTACAGAAAAAAGGCAGTAAAATAAGGGGGTGAGTTAATATTATGCAAATATTACACAAAATGTATTATCACTGACATGACACAAATATTCATTTTTTGTGAAATGACCCACAAACCCTTGAAAGATGACCTTATGAATTCAAGGAAGATATCAAAGCAGGGATCAGTGCACTGACCTGGGACACTGTCATCAGTTTCCTGTAACTTCTTCCTCAATTTCTCCAGACATTCCTCTTTATGAATGTCACCAATAGGAATGTCTGTTACAGTGTCAAGGAAAACTTAAGCCAATACAAATGCTAAGATAAAGCAATGGAATAAACCAAAAACAACAAAGGAATAGGAACAGTACTACCAATTGTCTTTCAGATCCCTATCCGTTTCTCTCTTTCATTCTCTTCAAAACTAGTTCAGCCAAAGATGGAAGAAAAAGAAACCCAAAGTGACAGAATCATGAGGTTATCATTTACATGAAGACACAAGGTTACAAGTAAAATAGAACAAAAACATCATGGCTACTTCATTTTAGCTTGTTAGTGGTCATTTGAAAAAAATTAATGCAAAGGCTCCTGTGGGCCTAGGTAATAAATCTCTTGAATAGCAGAATATTTTTGTAGACTGAGAACATCCTAAAAGGTAGCTTTAAAATAGCTTGTCATTAAATAAAATGGAAGCAAGGATACTCCAGGCTCCTGGTAAACTACATATCTCTTGTTCTACTGGTAATCTGACATCTATCAGTAGATGTGGTAATTTTTCCTTCACTATGGATTGGTATTCCTGGAAAATGATGAAAAATATCAGTTTTAACTCTAACATCTAAAAACCTTTCTTAACTCCTACATCTTTACTATAAGAATAAAAAAGTTAGTTGTATGCAAGTTCCAGGCCCATGGTCAGCAATTTCAAAAGGGGGGGGGGGTCTTTTTCTGAAAAAGTGGACCTTTTACCAAGAAACTTTGTCCACCTAGAAAAAATTTTACCCAGAGAGGTCATTTTCTCAGCAAAAAGGGCAGTTTATTCGAATCCCCCGAACCCCCACCTTTCTACAGGCCTGAGTTCCATCAATCTATTAATGATTAACCAATACAAGATCTGTTTGTTTTACATTATGTGAAAAAATAGATTACTGTAAAGAGAGAAGACAGCTTTTATTATCAAATTTAACAGATGCTGCAACTTTTTAGCATTATATAATTTAACTGTTCAAACTTAATGGTTTAAAAGATAAAAACAGCAGTTCAATGTCATATATAAAGGCTCCAAATGAAGAGAGATGGTTGCAAATTTCTATGAAGTGAAATTTAAGAAATGATATGGAATACAGCACATGGTTTTGAACAGATGAATATTGTTAAGTTAAAGTGGGACATTAAGGGGAAAGAATTGAAAATGTATCTAAAATCATTATTACAGATCTTACCAAAGTAATAATTTGCCCTACTATACCTGAAAATGTCTAACCTACCTTGGCACTTATTCTATCTTCAGGTTTCAACAGTTCGAGACTATGTTCCTGGCAATAAAATAAAGGAGAAATGTTCTTTGTCAAGTCAAATATTCCTTTCATTCCAAATGTATTGCTAACTTCACATTTACACTTTGACAAAGAATAACAATGTAAAATGTCACTGTGTTGCATTTGGATACATCATCAAAAATACAATACACAAATAAAATTACTAAAAAGTTTTAAAAAAATAAAATTTAGCTCAATTCTGTTCACACAAAATGTTTTCCTGCTGTATAACATACTAATCTATTCAGGACGTAATCTTGTAAGAATATCAAAGAAGAAATTGCAATATGTAATTCTAACAGACCAAGTCAACTTACCTTATCATTGGCACGGGAACCACAAAACTGTTCATAATCAATAAGCTTTGTTACTGAAGGGTTATCCCCACAAACCACACAACTTTGCTGTCTGGGTCTCAGTTTTATTGTTCTAAAGGTGCCCTCAAGACCATCAAATAGAAGCAACCTTTGAGAATATGTGTCTTAAACAGTCAAGAATATGTCTGGTCATAAAAGTGTTTATTTTTCCAAGAAAAAAGAGAATCAGAACTGTATTAAACTGAAAGACTGACAAAAATTATTTTCAATTAGCTGGAAATTCACAAATCGACATTATGACTGTGAAATTGAAATTAATAGATTTATAAAATGCTTATGTTGATTGCAGACCAAAGAACACATTAAAAAAAGACATTTTTATCTTTGCTCAGTAAGTTTGAAATATTAACTTAAAGGATACTTCCTAGACTGCAAATCACTTTTACTGCTTCCAAGGCCTGAAGACATCCTATAATTCCTGGAACTAAAAATACTCAAATCTTTGACCCTAATTGAATAAAAAAATTTAGCATGCATCAAATCCATTTAAATGGAATGAGAGCAGATAATTAAAATCAACTCTGACAAAGTTCTAACTTTCTCAACCATTCTTTGTGAAATCTGGAAATATCAGGTTTCAGAATGATAAATAGTGTAAACACCATCAATTCTTTTGCAACATCTCTACATTCCGTTCCAATACTCATAATATTAAGAACTGAGTTAAACACTCCTGTAAATTTGGATTGCCAATAACCATTTAGTCTACAGATATACAAAAGTTTATCTATTATCATTTGGCTGATAAAAGAATGCCAGTGAAAAACATAGGGAAGCAGGCAGCCCTGATCCCATGAACTTACTGACTCCTAGCACTCCACCATCAGAACAATTAGTGACAGTCTCAGGGGGAGGTGGCGTGGGGTATAAACATCTGTAGCATGGACCATCTTGGTAATTGTATACTGTAAGCTGAAAGTATTCATTTAACAAAGTTAAAATGAAAAACTGTGCTGAAAAAGCCAAAGATTCTCAAGTATTTTAATTCTAAATTTGTGCAAATCACGGGATTTTCAATACAAAAATGGTGCTCTTGTACAAACTAGGTACATCAAATTTGTATTTGTTTATGAAAAAATAATGATGAAGAATATATATTTTCAACACTGAGAATATAAAGTTATAATAATTATAATTATACCTGTCCTTCAAATCTGAGTGCACTTCCAGAGATCAAAGGTTTCTTGGCCATGATGCATGCATCATTCAACAGGTACCTTGTGGCCACATTGTCAGTGCAATCCAACACTACATCATATCTTGATTTTCGTCGTTAAAGAAATTCAAATAATTTCACATTTGAATGAAGCATGTGATCAGCAAATAATGTAGGCTATGTGACATATTGTAAAAAAAAAAAAAAAAAA